GTGGTCTGATTGGCCAGGCATAAAGAATATGGATTTTGATGAGCAAAAATCATTGATTGGCTGCCTCCTCTACACCCCCTACTTGGGATCTAGCCCACAACCCGAGCATGTGCCCTGACTGGAATCAAACCCAGGACTCTTCAGTCCACAGGCCGAAGCTCTATCCACTGAACCCAACCAGCTAGTGCTGCCATATTCTCTTGTATGTAAATTTGTATGCTAAAGTCTAGTATTGGTAATCATATGTAATGTTTCTTCTACAATGAATGCTAGTGAACTACACAGTCAACAGTGGGGAATAACAGTAACAGACTAATAACATTTTATTAAGACTAATTTTGAATGGAAAAACATAGCTAAAATAATGCCTTTGGTATCTTATTTGCAGCCTTCTATTTTCTTATCGCCCTTCATTTTATGTCAGGTTTCAAAATTGGCTTCATGGTAATAAAATCAAAGTTGTAAGCCTCTGGCATGCCCTCATGAAGAGTTTTGTTGAACTTATTCCAGTGAAAAACAGGGAGGCCACCTTGTACTGTGGGACCGCTAATGGCATGTGCTGTGTACTCTAATGCTAGGTACATATCTGCCACCTGGAAAAAGAGAAGAGGAAGACATTTTAGAAAAACCATTTGGAAAAATAAATTGACTAGATCCCTATCCCCACCACCCACCCCCATTTCCAAAATCACAATATTAGCCCCTTTAAAACAAAATCTTGCCAACTTCCACAATCTGCTATTCTGTCTTTATTTGGCATTCAAATGTGAATTGAACAGTAGGAGGGTATTAGCAATGTAGCCAAAGTGAGATCTGTAATCAATTATTCATAATCAAAATTCTAGCTCAAAAATTTATTAAAAAGTAACCTCCATATGGCTCAGTTTTCTCAGTTGTAAAGCAGGCTGATAACCCTACTTCATAGATGAGTTGTCATGAGGATTTATGAAAGCAAGTGCTTGGTGCAGTGCCAAAAAAATGTTAATTCCTCAATAAAAGTTTTATTAATAAAGTATAGTAGCAAGATATAAAGTAGAGCTCAATGTCAAAAAATGCCTAAATAATGGATAGCATTCTCAGAGGAGAAAGAAGAAAATGTCTCATAACTTAGGATTTTCCCTGTGTTCAAAATGGCTTAAGAGAAATATTTTTAAAGTATATCCTCAATATAATTTTTTTTTTTAAATGAAAAATTGGCAGGCTCCTGTGTTTCCAGAAGAAAGTAAAATATGACAAATGACAGGTCGGCTTGGATTCTATGCAAGGCAGCAGAGGGTAATTCACTTTGTATATTCTGGGATGGATATAACATGTCGCACACTTGAATGAATGTTTGCAAATGCCATAAAAAATACAAAAACATTCATTGGGGCTTCTTGTGTACCAAGCTCGGTATCCACTAATCCCCTCCCCCCGCCCCTTTATTGAATTTTTTAGGGTGACCTGATTAACAAAATTACATAGGTTTCAGGTACACAGTTCCACAACTCATCTGTACACTGTATTGTATTCACCACTCTAAGTCAAGTATCCTTCTATCACCATTTATCCCCCTATACTCTCCTCCACCTTCCCTCTCCCTGGCAATTCACACAGTGTTGCTCTTGACCATGAGTTTTTTTTCTCTTTTTTCCCTCAATCCCTCTTCCATGCCCCACTATTCCTCAAATACCCCTCCTCTCCAACAGCTGTCAGCCTTCTCTGTTTGTGTCTATTTTGCTTGTTCATTTTGTTCATTAGATTCTACTTGTTTTATTTTTTTGCATTTCACAACATAGTGAGAGTCATTAAGGCTAAAGTTTTGCCATCATCATATAACTATAATATAAGGTGAGTTGGAGCTCAGACTATTCTAAAGCATCTCCTATTTAGGCTTTAGGCTGATAGAAAAAAAATAATGTGTGTTTGGGCTATTGACATTCAACAGTTTAAGAGCTAAAGATGGAATAGTTAATTCTTCTCATACATTTCTTCCAGAATTTAGGACTGGAGTTGCAAATGAAAAGACACATGCCCAAACCAAAAGTGCAAAAGTATGTGGTAAAATGATTCTCTCCACCAACTAAAATAACTAGCCCACCCACTTGGATCTCCCAAACCTATGAGTATTGGAGTAAATTTTTTAACAACTAACACTCTGAGGGGAAAAAAAAAAAAAGGCCCTGATTTGTAATGTTTGCTGATTTCCATGCTGTAAATACTCCCACCCTGGCTGAATTCAAGCTATCAACACAATCAACAGATTTTAACAACTGGTCCTCATATGAGCTATTTCAGACCACCACTGCAAACATAAGATACATTATAGCACTTATCAATTCAAACATGCTAAAAACTAAAAACTCTTCAATGATTTTGTGTCTGGTCCAATACTTGTTCTTTCAGCTATTATAAATTAAATTTCTATTTAATGTAAAATCACACTGCTCTTAACATGTTCTTTGGACATTAGGCCAGTCTAAATAACTTTACACATTCACATTATTACCACCAACATCATAGTGATGTGTACATTTTCAAGTAGCCCACTAAGTACTGCTCTAGACATTCTATAGATATTAAATGTCCTCTACAATCATATGAAGCAAGTAATGTTACTTCCATTTTTCAGAGGAGGAAACAGAGGCATTATAAGATTATGTGATTTACTGTTAACAGGTAACTGCCACATGTCCAAAACAAACCATTCCCACATGCCATGATATTTTGAATTGAATTAAAAAAAATCAATTTATAAGGATATATATATATATAGCTGATATGCAAAGTGCCCCCTCAGAAGTTCAACCAGGAGACTGGGAGTTCGATTGCTTGCTATGATGTGAGCTGACCACCAGGGAGCAGCGTGGAATAAAGGAAAGCCCCAGCTGGCAGCTGGAAGGCGCCAATAAGCCTGATTGCTGGCCAGGACTAGGGACTCTACCCATGCACAAATTTCACACTGGGCCTCTAGTTATAAAAATAAATATATTACAATCCGGGTGTTCTTGAATATTTCAGCTGAAAATTCTCATGAAAAGTATTTTAAAGTTGGTCAGGGCTGCCACTTAAGGAAAACTTTTATTTTTAATAAGCGCGCGTGGTATTGGGGAAGGTCCGCTGCTTACCTCTACAGATGCTTATGGTGTACAACAGGTTAAGTGGCAGAGGAGAGATTTAAAGTTAAGCAATGGTACTTATCACCAGAATATCTGAAAAACTGAATCCTGAATCAAGTAATGGGTAGAAACATTGTTGTGCTCTATGCCACCAAAACTTTTGCAGCTTTGCCTTTAAGTAAGTGTAGGTGCTGGTGGAAATTAAATTCAAAAGTCAGTAGCATGTACCTTTGTATCATAGCAACCTCCAGGACTTGGTCCAAATGAATTCAGATCTTCACGGCAGCAGATAGTGTTGCATGGATCACCCTTACTGTAAGGATCCTCCTTATAATCTAGGAAACAGAGATTGGGATAAGAGTGAACACAGACTATTCTGAGGTAACACTGATCCACAATAAAATTTTTGAACCTGTTAAAGGCTACATAATCAGTGAAGCCTCTGCATCCCAGTGTGCTCCTGGATACAGAAATCTCCTTTAGCTTGTACTAGGAAGGGGCAACTGGAAGTTCCCTGTTCCAGGCCCAGCCTGTTCTGAAGAACCTTGCACAGCAAAGAGTGGATGAAAGAGAGATTAACAGGATAAATGTGCATAAATTCCCCCCACCCCCAAAAAAGAAATGCAAATTTGACTTTGATACTGTTCAAAAATAAAGTATTTATGAATAATTTTTGTTTTATTGGCTGCTTTTGTCCTTGGAAGGAAATCTGTGTTTGGGGGTGGGAGTAATAGTAAAAACAAAAACAAAAAACACAAAAAACTACATTGTTTGGGTTATTGCTTCTGTGTTTCACATAAAAGTTTTTCAATGAAAAAAAAAAATCCATTGAATCTTTTTCCTGTCATAAAGGTGGACAAAATTTTATTTGTGGGGTATAAAATATGTATAATATTGACTACAAAATACTTAATTCATTAACTTCTTATAATTCCTTCTAGTACAGAGATAATAAACTTACATGGATTCTTTATCCATGGGGAAGAAAAGGAGATTTGAAGAATGATTCCTAGAAATGTGCTACGTACTGTTGTATCGCATGATATATTTCATAGATGCCATGTCAGTCACTTTTCCTTGGTCACGCCGGAAGATTTTGGCTCGTGGAGCCAGATCATATGAGTAGTCCATACCCAGCTTCTGAACTAACCATGGATAGCCACTCCAGTTGTAGATATTTTCATGGAAAGGAATGTTGTAGGAAGGCCAATATCCTGATTTGGAATGGAAGGGATGGAAGAGTGGCATTGACAGGGAGGGAGACAAAAGGAAAGAGAGGGAACAAAAGAAATGTTATGAAACATGGCAAGGTGTGTAATGACATGATACTGATATTATATAAAAAGTAAAACTTTGTGAACCCTGGCAGTCAAACGATTATAATGTACAGAATTGGTATTATTCCATTAAGCCGCAGGTGTCTTCAAACTACTGCCCGCGGGCCACATGCGGCCCGCAGAGGAGTCTGATCCGGCCCGCCAGGTTTTTTGGGCAGTGAGCGCAGCCGAGGTGTTACAGTAGGAATTAGTAGTTCATATAGTCCGGCCCTCCAGCTCTCTGAGGGACCGTGATCTGGCCCCCACTTTAAAAAGTTTGAGGACCCCTGCAAGGGGAAAGAGCACCAGAATTATTTGGTTTTCACCCAAAATTCTTAAAGCAATCTCTTGACCAGGTAATAACCTTAGCGTTTATTGAGCAAAGTGGAGTATAACACCAAGTGGGCTGGGGTGCTCATTTCAGTGGACTTGGTTAGTGAAATGCCAAACGATGGTTCCACTATGTGGTCCTCACAGGGAATAATGGGGATCAGAAAACCTGGATTCTAGGCTCAGGGCTGAATAACCTGGTCTTAGGCAGTGAATTAACATTGTGGGGGTTTTTGTTTGTTTGTTTGTTTGTTTGTTTTGTTTGTTTTGTTTGTTTTCATTTCCTTTTTTTAGCAGTGGGAGGGAAAAGGAGAGTCAGTAATATGAGGGGAATGGAATTGATCTTTAAGGTTCCAGTAGGCTTTCAACTCCTTTGACTCGAAGCATTCAGAAAGGCTCAGCTTCATTCAAAACTAGGAAGTGTGCCAAGGCCACTAGTCACTAAGCATCAAACATGTGACACAACCACTGTAAAATCTTTTCAGGAACATCCCAGATTATAGTGGCCTGGATGATCAGTCAACACCGGGACATCACCACTCAGAGTTCTCTCTTTGGAGGCCTGCTGTCATTGTCAGGCTCTTAGGAGCTGGATGGACCAGCCTTCAAGGTCAGACCACGAGGGTGTCAGTTTCAAGGTGCCATGCTAACCAAGTAATCAACTAATGATTTAACTTCTCAGGTGAATTTTCTTCCCAGAAAAGGGAAGAAATACCTAATATTAGGCCTAGTAATAATTAATGTCGTTTTCTAATATTTTTTTTTTAATCGAATTTATTTAAACAATACAACAAAATTTAATCAACAATATAGTTGCCGTTGTTTTCTACTACTTGTGACCAATGCTCAGGAAGCATTTTAATCCCTCTGTTGTAAAATTCTTGTGATTTTGATGCAAAAAATTTGGTCAATGCATTTTTGAGGCATTCTTCATTATTAAATTTTTTTCCAAGAAGAAAGTTTTGCAAAGAATGAAACAAATGGTAATCGGAAGGGGCAATATCAGGAGAATATGCAGGTTGAGGGAGAACTTTCCATTCCAACTGGCGCAGTTTTTCAGCAGTGATTGTTGCAGTATGCGGTCGTGCGTTATCGTGGTGAAGAATTACGCCCTTCCGATTAATCAGTGCGGGTTCTTTTTCTCTTAAAGCTTGGGCTAACCTTTCCAATTGGGCACTATACACTGCACTTGTAATGGTTTGGTTAGATGGTAAAAGTTCATAATGAAGAATTCCTTTAAAATTCCATCAAACACACAACATCACTTTTTTCTCATGCAAGTCAGGTTTTGGTGTGGGCTGCGGAGCCTCATTTTTGTCCAACCATTGAGGCCGCCTTTTCAAATTAACATACAGCACCCATTCTTCATCTCCGGTAACAATTTGCTCTAAAAACGGCAAATGGTTTTGACGAGAGAGGAGCGAACTGCAAATTGTGACTCTTTCATTACGGTTGTTGTCGGTCAACTCATGAGGAACCCATTTTCCAAACTTTTGGACTTTGCCAAGTGCACGCAATTGATTGGGAATTGTTTTTTGTGAACAATTTAAAGTTGTCGCAAGCTCTTGTTGGGTAATTTGAGGATTTTGCACCAAAAGAGCTTGAAGAGCTTCTTGATCAAAATTGGACACATGGCCTCGACCACTCTTGTCATCTAACGAAAAATTTCCCTTGCGAAATTCCTCAAACCAACGCTGGCATTTTCTGGCGCTAACTTCATCTTGACCAAGAGCACTACAGATGTTTTTTGCAGCCTCACTTGCTTTTCTTCCTAATTGGAACTCGTAAAGCATGCAGTGCCGAATATGCTCTTCATCCGCCATCTTCTTAGCCCTAGTTTTGCAACAAAAACCAAACCAAACACAAACTTTTTCAAGCAAAACTTGTTAATTGCACTTCACACGGTCTGTAGATACCACGTGTTTGAAGGTTATGTCAATACAAGTCAACGCCAAGCAAGATTTTAAATGAATGTTTAAAAACGACATTAATTATTACTAGACCCGATAGTATCGTATCTGCTTGGCAATGGAAGTTTCCACCTTAATTCTGCTTTATGCATATAATGTACATGTCACTGATGTGAGCCATTCCTGCTGAGATGGCTAACGCTAGATGTCATTACAAAGTTGACTTGGGGACCTGGGAAACAGGACCAGGCCATGATCCCCAGGGTCCATACCTTATCTTGGTTCTGTACCTACTGATTGGTCAGCCCATCTATTATATTTTAATAGTTTCCTAATTGATAGCCTGTCTTCTCTCTGATCTCCAGTTTACCCTCCCTTTTCAGAAACGTCCATGTTTCTGAAGCAGTGTTTCCCAAACTTTTGACATATGTGTACCCCTTCTACAATTTTTGTAAAGCTGAGTACCCCTCGTACTCATGAGAATGTAGAATTAGGTGCAGCTAAGCACGGTGAAGTGCATATCCCCACCAAACTCCGCTGCAACGCATACCCCCACCAAACTTTTCCCGTACCCCCGGGGGTACGCGTACCACACTTTGGGAAATACTGTAAAGTAGGGGTGTCGAACTCAATCAGAGAAGGGGCCAAAATCTAAAATCCAGCCTAAATCGCGGGCCGAATGGTTTACTGAACAGTCATAAACTGTCATTGTGATGGAAACGCAGGGGAGTGCAGTGATGACAGCGCGGTGCGGGCCACATTGCAAGGCCTGGCGGGACGGATTTGGCCTGCGGGCCTTGTGTTTGACACATGTGCTGTAAAGGATAAAGGCTAAACTACTTAGTGAGGATTAATAACACACACACACACACACACACACACACACACACACACTGTAGCCTAATATATAAACAATCTTTAGAGAAGAGGGAACAAAGATATAAATAGACAGTTTAAGCTCTTCCAAATGAGTTCAGATCAGGTCATGTTTTGCTATCAAGTGATTAGGGACACCTGCTCCCAACCCGCCCACCCACCCAAACAAACCTTGGTTTTAGAGTTTTGAGATTTTGAGAATTCAAAATTATAAATGTGGTTGTGGACCTGTTCCATTACTGTCATGTTTTGCCAATGAAGAAAGTAAGACTTGGAAATAGTTTGCCTGAAATTCTGAGGAGCAGAGATTCACATCGGGACAGTGTGACTACAAAACCTGGGCTTCAACATCTGGGCTTCGTTCTTGTCTTCCAGAACCACCATCATTGACTCCTCCCACTGATAACAGCTCCTTTGGTTTCACCACTGGGGTTTGTGAAATCTTTAGTTAAATCTGTTTATCATCATTCTTTGGTGTCTGGGTGCTAGAATGGCTGCTTTCTGTCCCTTTCTTCCCTACCAGATTGTGAGTTCCTAAAGGTCAGGGATTTTGTACCTGCATCTGTGCTCTTCTGGTCCCTGGGCCAGCCTGGCACTCCCATAAATATTCGCTGAATTGAACTAAAAACTTAACTTGGGGACCCAGGAAAAGAGGTAATATTAGAGCCATGAAAGTCATAAGATGATGAATGGCTGGCTCTGTCCCAGCCTACACACGGTCACTTAAGAGTTTGTGCTGAACCTGGAAATTCTTTCCCAGTGTAACTACCCTATTTCCCCGAAAATAAGACAGTGTCTTCTATTAATTTTTCCTCCCAAAGTTGCACTAGGTCTTATTTTCAGGGGATGTCTTATCTTTCCATGCGCTGGGTCTTATTTTTGGAGGATGTCTTATTTTCAGGGAAACATGGTAGCAGTGGCATTCCCATGCTTTCTTCCCCAGCACACGCTTCTTCATCATACACTCACACATCACACGTTCCCCACCATGTATGTATACACACACACAAACACATACACACACACACTCATCATCCTTCCGACTTCTACTATGAAGAAGATACCTTTCCGTAGAACATCAGTTTGTTCAGAATATTCTACGTATGTTGGAATTTGCTCCACAATGTACAGAGTGCCTGTGTCAAGGCTGCGCCCCAGCTTTACCTTCTTCAGGTCCAGGACCATGTACTGATTATTATAGGTGCCTGAAATATAGGGAGAGACAGTAAGCAAGGCATGGATATGACTCTACTGGTTCACTAGAAATCCAAACATATCCACATTCCTGAAAAGTTACTCTGCAGGGCCACTTACCAGAGTTGTACTTTGAAAATATCTGTGCCCACTGCTCGCCATCACTGGCCATCATATTGGCCAGACGGACTCTCTGCCAGGCCATGAGAGACTCGGGTGTCACAAACTTTAGTAGGGTTTTGTTATACACGCTGTTGGTGGTCTGCAGCATTACCAACCCACTACTAAGAATGTAAAAGTCGTCCAGAGATACTAAAAACCCTGCAGGAGAAACAAATAGGCAAGTCAGCATACATATACATGAAATATTTAGCCACTGTTATTAGCACAGAGCTTCAGACATGTGATGCACTTTGCAAAGAATATCAGTTGTTATTATCCTTGACCTGCAGTAGCCTCTCCCAGAACGGGTCATCTCTGTGGCATTTATTTAACTGCTGCATATAAGGATGCCATTGGACCCCATTCCTGGATTCTGCATTGACATATTTTTGACTTTATGATTTGTGATGACAAAAATATATTAAACCAGGAATATTCCAATTTCCCATAACACTAAACAGAAATAGATTCCCATTTACTAGGATTTTTACAGGACAACTTCCAATTACGGAGGGACAACAGGGTTCATTTTGGGATCATAAGAATATAGATGCTGCCTTTCTTCTCTTTCTGCTGCTTTGTATTTTCCAAATTTTACATAAGGAGTCTAAATTACTAAAATCTAGATTTATAAAAGTGAACATGGTTTTGAAACACTGGGTTAATGCTTTTTATAAACGATGGAAGCAACACAAAGCTCAGTGAAGACAATTCTTTTTTTAAAGACCTACTTTGTTAGCCTAATAAATGCGGGAAGTTCAGTCAGAAGTCAGAAGGCTGATGAACTCTTCAGCAAGGCTGAAGATCTGCACATTATTACCTGCTGCCAAACGGCTGAGGGCAATTCCCCTAACCTGACGGTCCTTTGTTGTTTACCAGGCCTTACCTTTGATATGTATATCTGCCTTGCTAAAGGGAAAAATGTGTGAATAAAAAGTCATGGGTGGCTGAGACCGGTTTGGCTCAATGGATAGAGCATCGGCTTGGGGACTGAAGGGACCCGGGTTCAATTCTGGTCAAGGGCATGTACCTTGGTTGCGGGCATATCCCCAGTAGGGGGTGTGTAAGAGGCAGTTGATCGATGACTCTCTCTCATCGATGTTTCTAACTATCTCTCTCCCTTCCTCTCTGTACAAAATCAATAAAATATATTAAAAAAAAAAAAAAAAGTCATGGGTGAAGACATTCAGGTCCCCTAGAAAGTGGAACCTCCATCTGGCTCCCCCAAAATGCCTTCCAAATTTATATTTCATGTCTAGTCTCTAGTATATTCATTTATGTTGCAGCCCCTTCTCCAGATTTCTGAACCCTAGCTGTGAAAAGACCCTAGCAGTACTTTATACCACAATCAGAGTGGTGAAGATCAGAGAATACCAGACACAGCTATAACAAGGAGAGAAAATATATTGTCATCAGCCACTACCAGTGATAAACTCCTTGCTAAACAATTGTGAGAGAAGGACCCCAGCCAGAGTGAGAAGCTGGGTATAGGCTCCTCTGGAGCTTAACAAACCTCCACACTTTGATACACCTTATCACTTCTGTCACATGATTACTACTTGTTTGCATCAGAATTTTCCTTAAATCAAACTTAAAATATCTACCCTTGTCACATATAACCATATTAGGGAACTATGGGTTTAATGAAGCAAATTTATTTCTACTAATGTGCCCAAAATACTTGTCCATGAACCACTTAATACCACCTCACCAGCTCTATGCATGCCACACACTCAACAACAAACACATGTAGTTCGATGCTTTCATAATTGGGCAGAGCAAGATTAGGCTTAGAGAGGTGGGGGCTTCTATTCAAGATCAAACAAATAGTCGTCTCCTGACAGACCTAGAATGAGGTCTTGCATCCCAGCCACTGCTCTCCAACTAAGCCTGAACACCTGTGCTCAGCCTCATGGCCCTTCCTCTTCTGGCTTAGTGAAGGTTGAAGGAGGAGAGCATCTCAGAGCAAGTGGGCCTGGGACTAAGTATTGATCAGGTAAAGAGCAGTGAGCATTACAGTTAGGAATAGTAAATATGAACCAAGGGGTATAATAGGAATAGGTATGGCATGGAGAAGTGGGGGTTTTGGGAGGTGGAGGCAAAGAAACATTAGAAATACCAGTTTGGGTTGTCATTCCTCAACAGGCACATGGATAGGTAGGGTGGTTCAAATACAGGGATCACATGAAAGTAAAAGTCTTCAGACCATGAATTGGGAGCCAGAAGGCCAAATTTTAGCATTACCACTAAGAAATCTGCCACTTCTCATTTTGCCTCTCTGTTCCTTAATCCCTTCCTCTAATAACATGGGGCTAAGTGATGTCATTAAGCTCTAACAGTCTAATTTTAATTTCTGAGCAGGAAAGTGACATGTGGAGAGCAGTCTCCAACTAACTCATTTGAGCCTCCACAAGGCTGTACAGAAGTTCGTATAAAGGAGAGAAGGTGGCTCACTCCAGTGGTACAAGCCTGGATGGCAGGCACCCCTGAGTGGAATTTTAATGGGCAACCCCTCTGGGAAGGTACAACCTGGACATAGGAGGATACATGGCTTAACAAATAAAACGTGGAGAGGTTTCAATGACCTTTCCTTTACCTCTTGGGCTGGGGTTGTTTCTGAGTATTTACTAAGCTGTACAATCATATTTGGCAGCCGCGAGAAGGCTCTCTAAGCAGAAAAGGCTGTTTTTCTGGCATGATAAACTTGCTCATTCACCCCATAGAGATTGCTACAATCTCTGTGGACACAAGAGGGCGAGTGAACAATACATGTAAGGAGTAATCTTTCATTCAAGAGAAAGACTTGACTAAAGATGGGAAAATGTAGGCCACCCAGAGTTCTAGAAAAAAGATGAACTGGCTTGTAGACATTCTAGTCAAGGAGTCCAATTCTATGGTTTAGAATTTAAGATTTTTTTTTTTTAAAAGGAGCCCAGCCAGTGTGTGTCAGTGGTTGAGCTGCAACCCATGAACCAAGAGGTAACTGGTTTGATTCCTGGTCAGGGTATAATTAAAAAAAAAAAAAAAAAAAAAAAGGAAAAGGCCCAGAGAGGGGACCAAGTCAACCACTGCACTGTAAGAGAAACAGATGTTCTTTGTGTAAAATTACATTCTTGCTCATACCTGCAATGGGGAGTTTTGGAAGGTAGACTTTTTTTTAATTAAAAATTTTTTCAATGACAGTTTATATTCAATATTATTTTGTATTTCTTTCAGGTATGCAGCACATACTTTACAAAG